CAGCCCATTCCAACGCCCAACAGCCCCTTCTGCACAGAAATCCTTCCTCAGAGCCAGCCTGACCCTGCCCTGGGCAGCTTGAGGCCATTCCCTCGGGGCCTGGCGCTGGGGCCTTGGCTCCAGAGACTCATCCCCCCTCTCTGCCCCCTCCTGGCAGGGAGTTGCCGAGGGCCAGGAGGTCTCCCCTCAGCCTCCTCTTCTCCAGACTGAACCCCCCCAGTTCCCCCAGCCGTTCCTCACATGACATGTGCACTGTTTGAAGATCTTCCATACAGATCTTCAAACAATCTCCAGTAGTCAGCGGGATGTGCCATGAACTTTTTTATCTTCAGGGGTCATTTAACGGACTGGAAAGTGCCACTGTTGAAGGATGTTCTCCAAAGGTATTTTGAAGATGAACAAAAAAGAGACTCTTGCCAAGACATTCCAAGTTTTCAGATAAACCCACGCTCTCTGACCTGTGCCTCAGTGCTAAAGCTCTTCCATACCAGGGCTGTAAGAATCTCAAACCACCAATATCACCATTTAAAGGAGAAATTTTTGTAGCTTTTTGTAGTAATCTTCCTTTCTCGGCTCCAAGAGCCTACCAGAGCTGTTCCTCAGATCACCACGCTAGCAGCTGGCAGGCAAGTGGACGGGCGTCGCTCGCCTTCCAGAGGGCTGTTCAGCACCGAGGTAAAGGAGGTTCCTTCAAGCTCTAGAAGTTTCTGAGCAGAACTTCAGCACAACTGCTACACAAGTCCATGGGAACCGGTGCCGCTGGCATGTTTTGGCAGTTTGTGCAGTGGCTGAGGACCACAGCGAACCTCGCTGGGGCACAAGGATGAAGACGTGAAGGCGCATTCCCCCTTCAGAGGAGAATGAGCTCAGTCCTCTGCCGGGAGGCCCCACAAGGTCCAGGACTCACCTCCCCCTTGGGGAGCCCAGTGCCCTCTGCAGAACACAAGCCCTTTCTGCAAACCCTGGAGAAACATCACACGCTGCTCGGGCTGAAGACCCGAGCCACGTTTAGTGTACGTGGTTTTGGGTTTCTTCCTCTCCGGCTTTCGAGCATTAGCTGAACTTCCCAGGCACATGGTCTTTGTTTACATGGCTCTGTCCTCGGCAGCAGATCCCAAGGTCATTCCCCACAGCCGGCGTTGGGACCTCTGGGGTGACCCCACTCCTCAGTGACACCCACAGACCCCTCCCACCCCGGCCACCGCTCTGCTGCTCGAGGAGATGGACACCGAGAAGGAACTCCTGTCACCTTCTGGCTGTAGGAAAAAAAAATAATCTTTTTCTTTGGGGCATTTCTAACCTGTAACCTAAAATTACACAAAGCTCTGTGAAAGCAGCTGTGGATCAGAGCCGGCTCCACGGTGGGCAGAGGGGAAATGCACTTTACCCTACCCCTACACCAAAAAGAAGCAGGTCAGGTGGCCGCAGCGCTGCCAGGGGGCCGTGCCTGTTTGGCACCCACACCTGGGTACTCCCTCCAGGGCTTGCTCTCCGTGCAGCTGCCAACTGATGCGATCGAAGAAGAAAACCATCCGAGCAACACCCACACGCAGGACAATTCCCTGAAGACTGTCGTGAGCATATAGGCAAGAGATGAGGCTGCGGGCCGTAGGGCTTCCAACAACTGGGCTGTTTGCAAACGCGAGGGGCCAGGCTCCGCTTCCAGGTAAACTCCCGGGAACTCAACTGGGGGCCCAAATTAAGGTTTATCGTCCACAATGACACTTTAAACTAATGAAAAGAACTTACAGCCAAAGACTATCATGCTATTTGCTAAACCTGCCCTTAAA